GATCCTTGGATCTCAGCCTCCTAAGTAGCTATAATTACAGGCGTGAGCCACTCAAGCACTGGGCTTGCAACCTTGTCTTAAAAAGACAAATATCTACTTATAAAGACAATATGTTGGAAATGATCTGTATAACTTGGGGAGAAGGATTGGAGGGAGAGAAAGAGGGAGAAAAATGAGGGAAGAGGTAACAAGTTAGACAAGAAATGTACTCACTACCTTACTTATTCAACTGTAACCCCTCTGCACATCACCTGGACAATAAAATAATCAAAAAAAGAAAAATTTCTGTGACTAACATTTGTAATTTGCTTTTGCTTCCCACTTCTTTTCCAAAGACATTCTTTTGCCAATGAACCTTACTTGCCCATTCTCCTGCTTCCCTAAGAGAATAGAAATACCTGGTGTTCCCTATACATGAACATTCTCCTAAAAATTACACAATCAAGGAGCAGGGCTAATTTATTTATTTATTTATATTTTGCTGATCCTGAGTTTTGAACTGTAGGCCTAGGTGCTGTCCTTGAGCTTTTGTGTTCCAGACTAGTGCTCTACCACTTAGAGCCACAACTCCACTTCTGGCCTTTTGTTGTTAATTGGAGATAAGTCTCACAGCCCAGCTCAGGTGGTTCACATCTGTAATCTGAGCTGATATTCAGGAGGCTGAGATTTGAGGATCACTGTTCAAAGTCAGCAGGGCAGGAAAGACCATGAAACTCATCTCCAATAAACCACCAGAAAACCAGAAGTGGTGCTATGGCTCAAGTGGTAGAGCTCTCCTTGAGCTAAAGAGCTGAGGGACAGTGATCAGGCCCAGAGTTCAAGTCCCATGACCGACCAAAAAAAAAAAAAAAGAGTCTCACAGACTTTCTGCCTAGGCTAGCTTCAAACCATGATCCTCAGGTCTCAGCTTTCTGATAGCTAGGGTTATAGGCATGAGCCACCAGTACCTGGCATGAGCAGAGCTATGTAGATCCTGAAGACTCCACTGTCGACTTATTTCTTTGTTAAGTCAGGTACCACTGTGGGATGACAGTAGTCCCTCATCAGCCAAAAATGGTGAAGAAATGTTTTCAGACCCAGCTCCTTAAGAGTACTTAGGGACTCCTAAGTGATTCTTCATGAATTAGAGACCATGGCTCTGCATGCATGTGTGAAGAAAGAGGAGATAACTGTGAAAGGATCCTTCACATCCATCCCAGGGGACCATGCGGAGGCAGGCAGGCACAGGAGAAAGATTATTACAAGGTTTATCGGAGCAGCCATGTTTCCCCGGGAGAGGAGCACTCGGCAGCCTCCACTATCTAGGTAGCAGCAGCTGGGTCTGGGGGGGGCGGGGTAGGATGTGAGGTAGATGGGAGTTCAGGTGGGTCTGGGCGGAGAGAGGGAGGGGCCAGGTGTATGGCAGGAACTGCAGGGCAGGGATGAGCTCAGGTCTGAGTGCAGCTGAGGAACAAAGGTGGGCATAATGCTTACAAACTGGCTTCAGTGGCAGCACCATGGAGGGCTGCACTGGAATGAAAATACTTGATAGCTACAAAGAATTTGAAAGTCACTAAACATAGTCTGCCCCAGGTGCGTGGTTTCATTTTCTTTTCTTTTTTGTTGGTTGGGGGCTTGAACTCAGGGCCTGGGCATGGTCCCTGAGCTCTTTGCTCATGACTAGTGCTCTACCACTTTGAGCCATAGCTCCACTTCCAGTTTTCTGGTGGTTAATTGGAGATAAGAGTCACATAGACTTTCCTGCTTGGGCTGGCTTTGAAGCAGAATCTATAGTTCTCAGCATTTTGGGTAGCTAGGTTGACAGGTGTGAGCCACCAGAGCAAAACTCATGGTTACATTTTCTATAGTTTTAGTTATCCAGGGTCAAACACGGTCCAAAAATATTAAACAGAAAAATGTTGAGGGCTGGAAAGGTGGCTCAGTGGTAGAGCGCTTGCCTTGCATGCCTGAGGCCCTGGGTTCGATTCCTCAGCACCACATAAGCAAAAAGAAAAAAGCCGGAAGTGGCGCTGGGGCTCAAGTGGTAGAGCGCTAGCCTTCAGCTGAAGAGCTGAGGGACAGCGCCCAGGCCCAGAGTTCAGGTCCCACGACCGGACCCCCCCTACCCCCCAAAAAAGAAAAATGTTGAAATGAACAATTGGCAAGTTTTAAAATCACATTTCTGAGTAGTATGAGAAAATCTTACGTGGTTCTGCTCTGTTCTGCCCGGCATATACAGCATCCCACTGTCTGGTGTATTCACATGCTATATGCTACCCTACATTAGTTAGCTGGCAGCCCTGTTCATTATTGACTGTCATAGTACTGCAGTGTTTTTGTTTAAATAACCTTTAATTTTATTTAATCAAGGCTCCAAAGTACAATAGTAGTAGTGCTGGCCAATTTTATTATAGCAGGTTGTTATAATTGTTCTATTTTATCACTTTCTTTTCCTTTTTTTTTTTTTTCCGGTCGTGGGCCTTGAACTCTGGGCCTGGGCGCTGTCTCTCAGCAATTCAGCTCAAGGCTAGGGCTCTACCACTTGAGCTACAATGCCACTTCCGGCTTTCTGGTGGTTTATTGGAGATAAGAGTTTCACAGACTTTCCTGCCCGGGCTGGCTTTGAACTGCGATCCTCAGATCTCAGCCTCCTGAGTAGCTAGGATTACAGGCGTGAGCCACCAGCGCCCGGCTCACTTTCTTTTCCTATTAGTTACTGTGCCTATTTTATAAATTAACTTTGATTACAGCAATGTGTGAATAGGAAAAAAAAAATCCACAAAAATACAGGATTTGATACTAACTGCAATTGTAAACACCCATGAAGTCTAAATAAATAATGGGGGACTATTTATTCAGAATTCAAGCTCTTCCTAGATATCTGGAACAGAATTGTCTCTAAGTCTAAAACAAGGGTAATAGTCTTAAACAATAACCAGCTTTGTAGTGAACAATCTTGCAGGACTATCTGTGGTGGTTCATGCTTATAATCCCAGCTACTCAGGGAATATAGAGGTTGTGATTCTAAGCCAGCCTGGATAAAAATTAGTAAGACCTTCTCTCAGAAATGAGCCAAGTGTGGTAGTTCACATCACAGCTACTCAGGAGGGAGGGGTACGAAGATCAGTTTGAGGCTGACCCAGGCAAACAAGTGAGACCTTATCTGAAAAATAAACTAAAAGTGATAAAAGACTGGAGTGTGGCTCAGTGACAGATGACAAGTACATTACAGTGGCTACAATGATGGAAACGCATAGGGGCCAGTTCTGCTTGACTGCATATTCTTAAATGCCTGGAGCTGAGCTTGGTTATAATGGTTGAATAATTCTGCTGTCAGATATTCAAATGTGTACCAAAAGTGCCAGGAATATGAGGGTGAGGATCTGGTGAAAAAGGGACAGTTGCCATCAAATATTTATTTTTGCTTTAAAAATCAACTACCTGGGGCTGAGAAGGTGGCTTAGTGGTAGAGCGCTTGCCTTGCATGCATGAAACCCTGGGTTCGATTCCTCAGCACCACATAAGCAGAAAAAGCCAGAAGTGGTGCTGTGGCTTAAGTGGTAGAGTGCTAGCCTTGAGCTGAAGAGCTGAGGGACAGTGCCCAGGCCCAGAGTTCAGGCCCATGACTGACAAAAAAAAAAAAAAAAAAAAATCAACTCCCTGCTCTCCTTTTCTAGCAATGTTCTCCGAAAGCCTACTTACTTATTGGACAATATGCAGGTACATTGCATGCATAAAACATCAGATAACACAACTATCTGTACTTTTCATTGAATATTGTTAATTTTCCTTTTTATATAAAGTGTTGATATTTGAGCCTTAGCTCATTTTCTAAACTCTATAGGTTTAAATTCAGGGTCTAGTTTCATCTTTTTGTTTCTCTCTACCCTTCCTTGAGAATATCTAACCTGGTACCTGGCTTATAGAGTAAGTACTCAATGGCTTTGTGTGTGTGCGTGCCAATCCTGGGTGCTGTCCTGAGCTTTTTTCACTCAAGGCTAGCATTCTACTACTGGAGCCATAGCTCCACTTCCAGCTTTTTTGTTGTTGTTGTTTTTGGTGATTAATTGAAGTTAAGACTTTCCTGCCTGGGCTGGCTTCAAACTGATCTTCAGATTGCAGCTTCTTGAGTAGCTAGGATTACAGATACGAGCTAAAGGCACCTGGCTCAATGGATATTTTTGAATAAATATAATTCTCTGTCTCATTACCAAGAGTCTACTGCTCACCAAAACAGATATACACACTTTAAATGTGCTTTTAAACCAAACAAGTTTCAATTCTGATGTGTGTCTTTTCCTTTCTGCTTACTAGAAGCAAAAAAAAAAAAAAAGGCCCAAACAGGTGGCGCAGAAGGGCAGCCTGCTTGGCATGGAGAGAAATACAGGAACAAACAACCTCAACTCTGCCAACTTCCCCCTTGGTCTTGATCATCAGAGAGGTGGGGAAAATAAATCATAGATCCTGTGGCAATTGGGCTCATGTGGTTCAGGTTGCTAAGGAATGTTGATTCTTGATCTACCTAAGGCTTCCCATCCTACTCCAGGAATGGTCAACTAATATAAAATCCCAAGCAGCCAGGAACTTACCCCATAGCTGAGGTATCACCCTTCCAGGTTCTTATTTCTAGCTTGCTTTTTTTTTTTTTTTTGGTGGGGAGGGGAGGGGGGGCGAGGGGACAGGGCATGTACTGGAACAAGGCAGTACTAGCACTCTATCACTTGAGCCGCACCCACAGCTCATGTTCCTCTGTAAAAACATACACTGTCTGATAAAGTTCTGCTACAGATACTGATGCTGCATGTGACAATGATGACAGACAGCAGTACAATCTGCTGAACACAATATGGTTAAGGCTTTTTATGCACACAGTCTTATTTAAACTTCAAAAGCACCTAATGAGATCATACCATCATGATTTCACTTAATGCATAATCCAACCATACTCAGCACACTTCACCATCAAGGTAAAGTCCCCTGACCAAGGATTCAGGGCTTCTATTTGCCATTGCAGGACTTACCTGGGGAGCACAGAGTTAGGTGGCCTGGATTTCGCAGGGGATGTGACTTTCGGTTCTGGCCCGGAGCTCCCTGAAGATCCGGGCAGAGAATCCTGAACTTGCCCAGTTTGGTTTGGAAGTATTTCCCTTGTGGAAGTCAGGAGATGCTCTTTAACTTCTTTCTCCCGGGACTTGGCTTTGTGTTCTGCCAGGAGGAGGTCGAATTGCTTTTTCCGGCCTGGGACTGCCCTCCGATGGCTTAGTGAGTGTGTCTAAGGAGAAGAGAGATGAGAAGCACAGCCTCTTTGATCAGCACATAAACTTGCTTCCCCAGGCCCTTGCATTTCAGAAATAGCAACCATGGCAATTTAGAGGTGCTTGACAAGTCAACTTCAAAACAACAGCTCTTGTTCTGCGGCTGGGGAGAGGCAGAGATCCCTCGGATGCAACCATGCTCTACACTCCTGGTGTTAACAAGCCAATGCTTCCTCCAAACAAATGGCATGAGATGACGAATCTCCACGCAGAACCCATGAAAACCTCTTTGATGAAAAGCAACCGTGAGGGAATGCTAGAGTTAATCCAAGGGCAGGTGGGAGTCTCCAGTCGGCCCAGACAAACAGAGCCACTAGGCAGGGAGGGCCTTAGCTTTCATCCTGATGCCAAGAAGCACTACCAGTTCAGGAGGAAATATGGGGCTTTGGGATGCCCAGTGGCAGTCAGCCACCTTGGGTCCTCTGTCCCCTGGCCACCTCGTGTGCCTGGATCAAGGGTGCAGCATCTCATCCTTCTCTCTAGGGCTGCCTTTCAGGGCGCTGCTGCCACCGCCGCTGCTGCTCCTGCATACATTAAACCGTAGCAGGCTTTAGAACCGCCTGTGAGTGCCTATAAATACAATTTACTGTCTGGCCTCCCAAGTAACTGGGGAAGCCTAGTGTTCTCTCTCTCTCTCTCTCTCTCTCTCTCTTCCTTAAAAAGCCAGCCAGCTAGAGGCAGGCACTGCTACTGTGGATGAGAAGAAAGCATTTCCCTTACAAAGAACAGCTGGAGGTCATGTCGAGGTTCCACACCCTGCCGTGTGCAGAAAGTGGCATGCAAACATTTCGACAAAGGCCCCAGCGAGAGCAGGAAGTATTTTTTATGGAAAGAGAAATACCTTGCAGGTGAGGGATCTTGTGCAAGGTTTCTTTGTCTCGGGATCCAATACTCCACAGTGTTTATTTGGGTCAAATTCTCTCTCTGGTTTAAGAAACAAATAAAAAATATAAGAAAAAAGGATACTAAATAGGATTTGGCATTAAGACTACATTTAAAAAAATGCACATATGACATATGCACCAACAAGTGAGATATTGTCAGGCAATCTGTTTTTTTTGGTTTTTGTTTTTTCTGTTTTTCTTTTCTTCTTCTTTTTTAAACCGGCTGCTAATATTCTTCAAGAACTGCTCAGGGAGAGATGGCACTCTCCTTTGAACCCGGCCTTCCTCAGTCCAATAAGGGAATAGGGTGGGAAGCGTCACCACAGGCAAAAGAGCCAGACTTCTCTTTATTATACTTTATTATACTTAAAATGGTCCTACAGGTTCTTGGCACTTCAAGCATGGCAGATGCATGTCAGGGACAGCCACCTGAGACCCAGGAACCCCTGCTCCCCAGACTGCTCCCATAGGTCCTAGCCCCGCCCCCACCCTGGCCTTCCTGCTACTTTAGCCATTTAAGTGGGAGATTGTTCCTTGACATGTCAGCCTGACCTGCCCCTCGTGCTCTGCAAAGCCTTCAGTGTGGGCTTTCCACACAGCCTTGTGAACCAACTAAATCATTTCCCTGATTCAGAACATTCTGCAGAGCCATAGATAAGGGCCGGGAAAAGTCTGAGTTCCTTTGTGTGGCGGAACCTGAAGTGCCTAGAGAGCAAGCCCTGGTAAATCTCTCAGCTTGCTCTGCCCTGATGTCATGGCCCTGAAGCCCCATAGCACAAGGCACCCTGGCCTCTAGGGATGAAGGCTGGGAAGGTCTGGCTTTCTCTGTATCTTGCCTGCTTTCTGGTTGGACTACTTTCTTGTTGATGGCTTGTATGGAGGTTACATCTAAGGATCCTCCATTGCTTCTGGGATAACATCCCTGGAAAACATGGGGACCCGAGTCCTGCAGAGCAGGAATGTACAGCTCTGGGTGTATGGGTGAGATGGCTGCTGCGGGTAGGGGTTCTTCAGCAAGTTGGGCATCCCTAGGGCTACAAACTCTGTTTCCCTAAGCTGAAAACTGCCTGCATTGGTGGCATAGAGTTGGACATAATGAATGAATGTTTCACAGGAGTTTCAGGATCTCTGCACTGGTGGTTATGTTGATGCAAGCAAGCCATTCTTATACTCACAGCTATCAAAATGCAACCCCCCCCCCTTTTTTTTTGGTCGGTCATGGGGCTTGAACTCCAGCTCTTTTGCTCAAGGCGAGTGCTCTACTGCTTGAGCCACAGCGCCACTTCCGGTTTTCTAGTGGTTTATTGGAGATAAGAGTATCAGGGACTTTCCTGCCCAGGCTGGCTTTAGAACCGTGATCCTCAGATCTCAGCCTCCTGAGTAGCTAGGATTACAGGCGTGAGCCACCGGCACCTGGCTCCTTCTTCTTTTTTTTTTTTTTTTTAACACTTCATTTTTCAGGGAAGAAAACTGCTAGTCCTAAGGCTGCTCTTTTCTTGGAACTCTTTTCTCAGCAGGCAGTAGGTGCCAGGGTGGCAGGCCCCAGGCTGTCTGCTGTGGTGGCCTTCTCCTGGTATACAAACCCACTCCAGCACCTCATGTTGGTCTAGAACTGAGAGAGGTTTTGGCTGGGGTAGGCACTGCCTGCCAAGGGTGAGGCAAGGTAGAAACAAGCAAAAGCTCCAATGAAATAAAATAACCCACAAAATGCAAAATAACCACACACACACACACACACACACACACACACACTCCCTAAACAACTTCAGACTGGGACACCAACTGGAAGCCAAGGCCATGCCTCTCATGCAATGAGACCCGTGGCCGCTGGACTCAAGACACAGGCTTTTTTTTTTTTCCCCCAGGGATGTTACCACCCATTTCTGCACTAGCCATTTGGGAGGAGAGAAGTTGGGGACTCAGCCCATAGATTGAGACCCCCCACAATGCTTGTAGACAGCGACATGCACTATGTTCTCTGGTTTTGATGATTATTTTTATGTTTTTATGGTATTGAGATTTGAACTCAGGGCCCTGTGCTTGCTAGGCAGGCATTCATTCTACCAGTTGAGCCATATTCCCAGCTCTCCCTTTTTCTTGATAGTGCGTGAACAAGACATGGAAAGTTGTGCCAGGCACACAGTACTTGTTTTGCTTTAATGCTTTGGACCTAAGGCCTGAAGTACTTAAAAAGAAAAAGACACAAGTTTGGAGTTACAGATGTACGATAGAAAACTAGAAATGCAGGGGCTGGGAAGGTGGCTCAGTGGTAGAGCACTTGCCTTGCATGCTCAAGGCCCTGGGTTCGATTCCTCAGCACCACATAAGTAAAAAGCCAGAAGTGGCGCTGTGGCTCAAGTGGTAGAGCGCTAGCCTTGAGCTGAAGAGCTGAGGGACAGCGCCCAGGCCCAGAGTTCAGGCTCCACGACCGGACCCAAAAAAAAAAAAAAAAAAAAAAAGAAAAGAAAACTAGAAATGTAGATAAACATGAAATCCGAAATAAGAAATTACCCACACCTCTTAAGGTGCTTAAAATTCTTGCTCATACCAGAGATACCTTCTCTCTCAATGGGTGGCTTTCACTGTAGTTCATTTTTCCTGTCCACTGTTAGATAGCACCCATGGTGTGTGGAGAAGTTATGAAGTTTATACTTTTGGTTATTTGGAGAGAACAGAACTTCTGGATTTCATTCTTGGACAGATACAAAGCAAATATTATCCCCACTGGGCCTCGAGCAGGGCAACATCACCTCAACCAGCAGACACATGTCTGCTCAGACAACTTCCCAACCCCGCCCTATATCGTGCCAGCCCCAGTGGGAATTCCAGCCTGACTATGGGGAAGGTGTAGCTCCACCTACAGAATCAACCTACAGTGCTGTGACATGAAGGATGGAAGCCGTATCTCCTTGTACACTCCATCTATGGGGCTGGCCCAGCATGCTGTGTGACATGCTGGTAGACTACCCAACCTCAAAGCAGTGATGCTTTTACAGCAGCCAGGGGTCGTCCAGCCACTCAGCATCGTTGGTTGCACAGCCATCTGTGAACTCAGAGTTCGCAGACTTGCTCCTTGAGCCACTGGGGATAACTCCTGCTAAACACTTAACAAAGCCAGAGTCTTTATCTGCCCCAGGAATAAGAGAATCAGTTCTCCTTTGCATTTTTAGATGGGGGATCCTGTTTGCAAATATACTCCATGTCCCCTTGACAATGAAACAACGCTGCTTAATTATATGACCATATCATTCCTTGGTTACAGAAGGGACTGAGTTTTAGTTTTATCATGAACCAGACTCTAATGATACGGACACATACCTGAAAGTCTCCGGTAAGGCTTGTTGTTGTTTTTGGTGCCATTTTGGTGTTTCTTGTCTATGGTGGCGGACAGGATCCCTTTGCCATTTAAGATCTTCTCAGGTGAAGGTGGCACCGACTTAGACATCAGGATGGGCTTAATTAGAGGTGGGGCGGAGACAGCAGAAGAGGAAGAGGAGGAGGAGGAGGAGGAGGAGGAAGAAGTGACTGCAGTAGTGGTTGTAGAGTTCATTTTGACATTGGCACCATCTGCCTTCACTAGGTTAGGAATTTTCTCTAAACTGACTACGGGAACCGGAACACTGAAAAATAAAGGAACAAACACACACAATTGCCTTCTTTGATACATCTGGTCTACTGAGGAGCTACACCGCTTATCAGTATCAGAACACTTCCTTATCACTTATTTATACTCCTCCTATAGGCAAGCAGCATGGTTCCAGTTTTGATGGGAGGGAGATTTGTGCTGTGGAGAGGACCAATGGGGGGTATGAGGCTGGCACAAAGCCTGGGCATGGATCAGAGCTGACTGATTAGCTCCCGCACTGGATCGTCCACATGGATCCTGTAAGTTCCCCCACCCCCATCAAGCCCTGTATGTGGGTCATGTCTGACATAGCACCATGGGCAGAACAAGGACTTTGCTGTGAAGCCTAGGGAGAGATGCTGTCTGTGAGGGACAGACAGCAGGCCACTGTTGAATCAGGCCTCTGCCTCCCTGCTCTGTAGTCTCCCACTTCGGCACAATTGGGCCTGACACCTGCTTAGCTCTGAAGCACTGACAGGATCATGCCACACAGAGGCATGGCTTCAGGCCAGCATGCCACACTCCATGCTGTCGGAGAGCTTCTGGATCACTCTCCTATGCTGGGGATGGGCTCGAATGAAGTAAGCCGCCATGTACTATTATCCAATATTCCATTTTAGGAAGCTAGTTATGTAAATAGGCAATTCTCCAGGCTGGCAGGTGAGAGGATGAATTTTAAGAAGGCAAGAGCACAAAGGTGTGCATTTACTCTTCAGAATCTGTCACCTTCGCCCCATTTCCCTGCTATTTCTCCTGTCATGGAGGGGTACTTGATTTCTGTGGTTCTTTAATGCTGGACAACCTTATGTCTGGGGGGCTGTGAAGGACTCTGGCTCAAGGTCTTGTTAGATGAGATGAATAAGCTTTGCTTTGGTCTCTGAACCAGACTCCCTTTCCTCCTGGCAGGAGAGGTGAATGCTAACACTTTGACTCCCCAATCATTTTTGAGCTGAGAGTGGAGCTGACGTAGCTACTTGAATGCCAAATGATTGAGAATGTGGCTCTTACATGTGTGCAGACAATGCAGGGCACTGTCTACACACATTGTTTTGGCAGGGGAGAAATCCTTTCCACTCACATGGCTGGCTCCCCCTTTTCTAAGATATGTTCATGGATCATTTCTTTTCTTCCTTTCCCTCCCTTCCTCTCTCCTTTCCTCCCTTCCTTCTTTCCTTTTTGTCAATTGTGGGGCTTGAACTCAGGGCCTGGGCACTGTCCTAAGCTTTTTTGCTCCAGGCTAGTGCTCTACCACTTTGAGCCACAGTGCTACTTCTGGTTTTCTTTTCTTTTTTTTTTGGGGGGGGGGTCCGGTCGTGGGGTCTGAACTCTGGGCCTGGGCGCTGTCCCTCAGCTCTTCAGCTCAAGGCTAGTGCTCTACCACTTGAGCCACAGCGCCACTTCTGGCTTTTTTCTTTTTGCTTATGTGGTGCTGAGGAATTGAACCCAGGGCCTCAGGCATGCAAGGCAAGCGCTCTACCACTGAGCCACCTTCCCAGCCCCTACTTCTGGTTTTCTGATCATTAATTAGAGATGAGTCTCACAGCCTGTCTTGTCTGGGCTGGCTTTGAACCACAAACCCCTGAGTAGCTAAGATTACTGGTTCGTCCCTCCCCTCTTCCCTTCCTCTTTTCCTTCCTTCCTTCCTTCCTTCCTTCCTTCCTTCCTTCCTTCCTTCCTTCCTTCCTTCCTTCCATCCTTCCCTCCCTCCCTCCATCCCTCCCTCCCTCCATCTTTCCCTCCTCCGTCTCTTTCTTTCCAGGGGCTTGAACTAAAGGGCTGGGTGCTGTCTCTGAGCTTTTTTGCTCAAGGCTAGAGTTCTATCACTTCAGCCACAGCTCCATTTCTGGATTCTTTAGTAGTGAATTGGGGATTCGAGTCTTATACATTTTCCTGCCACAGCTGGTTTTGAACCTTGATCATTAGATCTCAGCCTCCTGAGTATGAGTATGAGGCACTGCACCTGGCAGATCATTTCTCTGATTAACTCAATCAAGCAATTATTTTTGTAGTCCCTGCCTCTGTTCTGACTCTGAAACAGGATCGCAGATATTAGGTACAGATCTTTGCCAGTGAAAAAGATGCAGTGGAACAGACTGTCGTTGGACAACACTGACTTCCCCCTAGATCATGTGTCTTCCTGGTCTGGAGGGGGGGGGGGGGGGACTTCGAGTTGTGGGAAGAGAAACTGGAATGGAGGATTTTAGTAATGGGTGATGCCATTGCCAGTATCTGCCCTTGACGGGTGTCTTAGTCAATGAGAGCAAGAGCTGGCCTGTTGCTGCTGTCTATTTAATGGTGATTCTCTAAGCACACACATGTCAGTGGCTAAAGAAATTCTTTTACCTGACTTACGTAACTGTAACTCCTCTGTTCATCACCTTTATAATAACAATAAAAAATAGTTTAAAAAAACCCTGAAAGCTGGGCGCTGGTGGCTCACGCCTGTAATCCTAGCTACTTAGGAGGCTGAGATCTGAGGATCGTGGTTCAAAGCCAGCCCGGGCAGGAGAGACCGTGAGACTCCTATCTCTAATAAACCACCAGAAAACCAGAAGTGGCGCTGTAGCTCAAGTGGTAGAGTGCTTGCCTTGAGCTGAAGAGCTGAGGGACAGCGCCCAGGCCCAGAGTTCAAGCCCCACGATCGACCAAAAGAAAAAAAAAAACCCTGCAAGTAAAAAAAAAAAATTGTTGGGCTGGGAATGTGACTTAGTGGTAGAGTACTTGCCTCGCAATCATGAAGCCTTGGGTTCCATTCCTCAGTACTACATAAGCAGAAAAAGCTGGAAGTGGGACTGTGGTTCAATTGGTAGATTGCTAGCCTTAAGCAAAAGAAGCTCAGGGACAGAGCCCAGACCCTGAGTTCAAGCCCACCACTGGCAAAATAAATAAATAAATAAATAAATAAAAAATAAAAAAGTCTTGAAAAATGAGCTAAAACGCTATACAGATGTTTCCCAATGAAATTAGCATGTGCCATGATTTAAATGTGCCTCCCCAACACTCATCTTAGAAATTTAATCCCAAAATTCATGCTTTGATGGTGTTTGGAGATAGAATCTTTGAGAGGTAATTAGAATTTAGTGATCATGATGGTGAGGGCTCTATGATGGGATTAGTAGCTTTATACTAAGAGGAAGGGAGACCTGCACTAACACTTCTTCACTGTACCCACGCTATGAGAGGCCCTCTGCCATACTGTGTCACAGCTTCAGGACCATTGCCAGATACCAGCATCCTGATCTTAGATCTCTTTGCCTCCAGAATGTGCACAATAAATACCTTTGCTTTATAAAGTCTGTGGGGTTTTGTTATAGCAACAGAAAATAGAAAAAGACATTGCCACATCCTTGATTCTTTCCAAAGGCTAAATATATGCAAAGTTGTATGATATTATGAAATAGGATTCTTACTTCTTAACCTGTCAAAAAAAATCACAAGTTATAAAAATCAGGATCTCAGCTGGGCACCAGTGGCTCACACCTGTAATCCTAGATACTCAGGAGGCTGAGATCTGAGGATCGGTTCAATGCCAGTCTGGGCGGGAAAGTCCGTGAGACTCCTATCTCCAATAAACCACTAGAAAACCAGAAGTGGCATTGTGGCTCAAGTGGTAGAGTGCTCGCCTTGAGCTGAAGAGCTGAGGGCCAGTGTGCAAGTCCAGAGTTCAAGCCCCATGACCAACAACAACAAAAAAACCCCAGCATCTCAAAAGGTATTTGAACATCCATGTTTATAGTAGCATCATTTGCAAGAGCCAAGTGTCCACCAATACAAAGCATGAGTGAATAAATAAATGTGGTACTATTTGTCCTTAAAAAGGAAGGAATCTTTCTTTTTGGCAGTATGCTAAGTAAAATAAGACAGTAATGAAACAACAAATACTATAAGATTCCACTTAACAAGGTACACAGATTAGTCACAGTCATAGACCACAACACAGAACAGTGGTTGCCAGGCAGCAGGTAGGAGAAGGTACTGGGAAAGAGTTTGCTTTGAAAAGAATTCTAGAGATTGATTGCACAATAATGAAGGAACATTAAGACTGGTTAATATGGTAAATTTTATATCCTATATATTTATTAAAAATACTAGTATGTTAATAAGATAATAAAGGGAGATTCATTTGTTCATTAATATATTAGTATGTTATATTAACAAAACTATTTAAATGAATAATAAATAAATACGATTAAATTAGTATCAAATAATTCGTTAACTTAAGCAATTAACTTAATATTAAATAAATATCAATTAAATATTAAAATGTATTTAGTAATGATTAACAAATACACTGTATTAATAAATATGTTATATTAATAAATATATTTATTTAAAAATAAGTAGATATGATATAATATATACTATATGATATAAAACATGTTGCTGGGTGCCAGTGGCTCAAAGCCAGCCTAGGCAGGAAAATCTGAGACTTTTTCTTTAACTACAGAAAAAAGCGTGAAATGGCACCGTGGCTCAAATATTTGTCATATATATATATATATATATATATATATATATATATATATATATATATATATATAAAATTTGAAGTGTACAAAAACTAAAGACCTCACAAGTTACAAAATTCATACAGCCTTGTATAAATCTTCTTCTACAAGTACACAGAAGGCATCTAATAGTGGTGAAGAATGCCTTAATCTTACGTTGAGTACTTATGATCTCAGCAAAAAAGTAGGATGCCTACAATAGAATAATCCAGAGCAACTATAAATTGCCCCTCCAATGCTCACATGCAATCTGTACTTCTCCAAAGCCAGTGTCTAGAACCAAATGCACTCTGTAAGGTAGCCTCATGAGCACAGGTGCACTAGGCCCACACATCAGGATCAGCTGACTCATCTCTTGCCTGTGCTTACTTAAAAATAATTTTCTGTACTGGCAATACTTCCAGAATTTCAGTGGGACTTCAGTTCCAGTGCCCACAGGTGATATAAAATTGGAGTTCATCAGAAACAAGAAAGAAAAACTGATATG